TATTTCAAGTAAGCAATAGTGATTTATACAGAGAGATGACAATTTAATAAATCTTAATCCAGGTTGGAGAACTACATGTATTTTTTTTAAAAAAGGTTGAATGCCAAAGAGCCTTATCTATTGCCAGCACACACATATATATACACACGTGTGTTTGTGTGTGTGTGTGTGTGTGTTGTATTTGTGCTGATAAATAAATAAAGGGAGATACATTTCGTAACACTTAATATATATATATTCCCTCTCCCTACACCATAGGTTCTGTCCTCTTCTATGTAGCTATTATTTTTGAAATAAAAACAATTTGATCCAATAAGCTTTTCCAAATATAAATGAAACAGTCAGATGACTCAGATTAAGACTGATTATAAATGTAACAATTAAAGGTACTGGATTAGAAGCTGTAACATCATGAGTTCAAGCCCTGCCTTAGGCATGAATGCCAACAGAGTGACTTAGGGTCAGTCCCTCTCAAGCCTAGCAAGAGGGCATTTTCAAAAAGTTTGCTGTGGTTATAAGTGCTGTTTAAATAGTAGGCTGTCATAATAAATATACAGATTCTTTATGAATTTGCAAGAAATGTAGATAACATTTGTATGGACTTTTGAAAACAAATACGGTTTTAAATAGATTGAAAAAGTGAGAAATGGTGCAGAACTGAAATTGATAGTTTCCTCCTCCTATAATTCTCAGATTATATGTCCTTCCTGCAAAGGACATTAAAGTGGTTCACTTTCCTTCATTCATATTCCCTTTCAGGCTTGATCTGAACATCCTTGGATCCATCAATTTGAGATCCCCATCTGGTGCAATGTGTGGTACATAAATTTGAGTCTATGTTTTCCTTTACCACATTTGTCTTTAAATTAAATGAAAAATAGTTTTTTTTGTAAACTCCATGTAGTAAAAACCAAGGTTTCTAAAAACAGCTGTTAAACCCACATGAGGTTCATACCCAAGCAGAACATCAATGACACATTACATCAAAACACCTGACAGACCACATTTCCCCCTAAGATGTATTGAATGAGCCTCAGTGAAAAGAGCTTTGCTTTGATCTGTCTGATTACATCTGTGTTTCTCAACCTTGGCAATTTAAGATGTCTGGACTTCAACTACCAAAATCCTCCAGCCAAGTTGCCAAGGTTGAGAAACATTGGGTAAGATAATCCAATAGATTCTTTGGCACTTTGCATTCTGAATTATCATGATGGTATTAATATTAATTAGTATTAAATAAAGACATTTGTATTCATTTTCTATACGAATGTGTGTTCTTTCTAAAACATTCTTATTTTTGAAAAATATTTTTTTTAATTTACACCTAATTTATGGTTAATCTCTCCACAAGCTTTAGTAAAGCAACCACATCTATAAAAATTGTCCCATCTGGATTTTTATATCCTAGGTACAGTTAACCCTTAAGCTAGGTCCCTTGACTTTCAAATTATGTTTTTAAGAAATATTTAAAATAATGAATTGGAGAGCTATATCTCAATCAAACACTTTGTACTTTCCAGATATTATAGGCAGGCTTGTTTATTCATGTATCATGTTTATTTAGACTTGGAAGAAATCTTGTATGAAATTTCAACAGACAAAAAAAAGTTGTTGATCTTTGCAATGCAAACTCAGCCTTCCCTGACTGAGGTTTCTTCCAATATCCCACCTTCAATTTTGCAAATCCCCAGCAATAGGCATAAATAGTTTGCATCCAAGAGCAAACAGATTTGGGGGGGGGGGGAATGTGCTATAAGTGACTTTTAAAATTTAGTTTAGCCAATCTTGTAAACATAATTATTTTGGTTTGAAAACTAGTTTATGGTTAGCATGATATATAAACCTAGCCAATTGTGGTTTATTCAACAAACCATTATTAAAATAAACCATGGCATGTAAATTTTGGATTTAGTCACTGAACTATGGGAAAGAAAGACTATAAATTTATAACAGGAACAGAAGGGGACAAAAAAATATCCTGTCCTCCCAGTCCTAAAAAAGAGGGCAAATCCATAATACTAACCTAAGAGAGACAATAGCACTAATACATCACATCACATGTATGTATGCAAGCCAAAAGGAGAAGTAAGTGTATACCTACATATCTATTCGTGCTAGACAAGACATGAGACTGATTTATTTGAGCAACAAACCATGATTACCAACACCTTTTGCATTCTTTTTAAACTTCACACATAGCCCCACTTGGCCATTCCACTAAACCCAGCACAATGTGGCTTAGTTTACCACTGCAAACCATAATTCAATCATCATAAACCATGGAATTTCTCTCTTGTTTATTCCAATGGGAATAAACAAGGCCTCATTATGCTAAATTTGCGTGAAGTAACCAACAGAAAATAAGATTTGGGTGGCTGACAGCAGCTCCATTCAAGTGGAAGAATCATTGGGCCTGTCATAACTAAGGTCACCCAGCTGACTTTCATGGCTAAGGTGGGACTAGTTTAATTTGCTTTTTAGCTCCCAAATGAGTTGCAAATGTGGATAACAGATTAAGTTTAAATCGTTTAGATTCTGATACAGCAGGTGGCTTGCAAAGACCTCAGCAACAGTATTTTTTACTATGTTGTTCTGTGAAATAAATTGGCATTTTCTAGGTTGCATTTGTGCCTGGATGATTCTGAACAAACTGATAAGCTCTAAAATCAGAATATAAGTTTAAAACTGATACGGAGATAAGCAAAGAGTGCTCAGATCTCCCAAGTACCTTATATGACAACTGCTGGTTGCACTTACCCTACCATCCGGCCTCTGGCAGTCTGCACTTGTGGGGCTGTTCGTGGTTGTGGTCCATTCTGAACAGGATTCACCAATGGTGTTCTTTGCTGGAGAGTCCAGCTTGGACTTCTACTCAAAGCACCAGTGTTCCTTCTAGGATTGCTGCTCTGAGATCTCACATTGGTGAGAGATGGGAGTTTGTGGACTGCTGGAGCAGAATTTTGTTTTCGAAATTCCCTCCCTGCTGGATTTCTCATCCGGGCATTAGCAGCAGCATTTGTCTGAGGAGTTACAGGAACATGATCCAATGTAGAAGAAGAGCCATGTACCGGGAACAAACTGTGCACTTTAGTTCTTGGCCCAAACCTGCCTTGGTTCTGCTGAAATCTTAACTGCGTCATCTCCCTGTTCCCAGCATCTGTCCTGAAAGAAGGATATTGATCCAGACGCCCAGCAAGGTCTCTCTGACACTCTACAACCCCCATAAAAAGTGCAATGGTTAAGGGGAGAAAACTGTTCCAGGAATTCCTCATGGTTTCTATCCAAGAGGAAAACTCTTGTTGGATTAATAGGGTCATACACCAAATACAATTGGACTTTGGAGAAAAGTCCCCTCAGCAAAATCCCTCTGGTGCATTTCAGAGCCAATCACATCTTCAGGTACATCCCAAAGAGGCTTCAATAATACCTGCTGTCTAGATGGAAAAGCCAGGCTCAAAGGAGTAACAGCACAGATCTTCCTGAACCAGGAGCAACACTTCCCTGCCTTAGAGTTCTCCCCTCACTCTCTCTCAGTGGCTGTCAGAGTGCTGGGTATTCTTTGCAGACAGCTCCAAGCACCTTCTCCTTTGCCTCTTGCCCGGCTCTGGATAGGATGGGCAATTTTATTTTTGGAAACCTCCCCCTTTTGACTCTTTTTTGATACTGACATCGTCCCTGTTCAGAAGACACGCTCGGTAATACATACACCCCTTTACAAAACACATTCCAGCAACACCCACTTTGGCAGAGGGAAACAAATTGCAAGACAGAAATATTAACTCTTGAGCAACCAGGGAATCCCATTCACAGCCTGTGCAAAAAGTTGGTGTGCTTTGTGTCTTTCTCCCCCCACCCCCTCATTCCTTATATACACCTCCCAAACTCAACAGGTCTCTGGGTAAGCTTTCTTAGCAGAAGCACATGTTCAGATTTTTATGCACAACTTTAACCAAGCAGAAGTGAAATAGATGCAGACACAAATAGATATATGATACATGGGAAAAAAGTAATTGTCTCTGTACTACAACCTGATGCCAACCACTACATATATTAGATATAGTGCAGAACAGGGATTGGGCAAGCTGAACGTGGCTGCTGCTGTGTTGCAATATTTTCAGGGAGGGCTTATTTTCAGAAAAACAGGGTAGTACCAGGGCCATGAAACTTTTTTTTTCCTTTGAAGAACAGATCTTTCCTTCCTTCCTTTGCTAAATGCCTATGTTTAATCTTTAGAAATTTTGTTTTATTAATGTAATGGCTTATGAAGTTTGAAAATTTAAAGCTACAGAGCTATGTTGTTTGGATACTATTGGTGTCCATGAATTTTCAACCTGGCTTTGTGGTTTAAATACAGTCCAATAATTGGTGTGAAGTTACTGTTGACATTTTGTTTTATGCTAAACTGCTATGGACTGATTTTTCTCATTGTCTGCAGAATCTAGACTGGAACCTGCCAAAAAAGAGAGAAGCTTTTAATAGTTTGCTCTACTCTGAACCCCATTCGACCCTCTATCTGCAGTAGAAGTCCATGTTTCTTATGCCAATGCCAGCTTCTCTCCTTTTCCAAACAGCAGGATTGAGATGGCCTGAGTCTAAGAGCAATGATAAGTGTAAAGAGCTAAAGCCATTCCTCTCTCTAGCTCTATGTTATGATCCCAAGCCAATTATGAGCCATGGTGGCACAGTGGTTAGAGTGCAAACTGCAGGCTACGTCTGCTAACTGCCAGCTGACTGCAATGTGGCAGTTCAAATTGCACCAGGCTCAAGGTTGACTCAGGCTTTCAGCCTTCTGAGGTGGGTAAAATGAGGACCCAGATTGCTGGGGGAAATATGCTGACTCTGTAAACCGCTTAGAGAGGGCTGTAAAGCACTGTAAAGTGGTATATATGGTATTTTTCAGACTATAAGATGTTCCGAAGTATAAGACACACCTAGCTTTTGGGGAGGAAAACAAGGGAGGAAAAAATCTGGCTCTGCCTCCCAGCATTTTGCCTCCTTACAGCAAACAGAAAACAGCAGCTTCAGCACAGCCTGATTTAGCACAAACAGCTGATTGTGGGTTTGATTGGCCTCCTGGAATATCTCCTATTGCTGTTCTAAGCTGCAGGGATCCCAGCCGCCTATCTACACCATCGGCGGCCATTACTGCTGCCACCTAATGCCACCTCCACGTGCCCCATTTTTTGCCTCCATGCATCCCGTTTCAGTCTCCGCGTGCCCCATTTTTGGCTTCTGTACATCCCATTTTCAGCCCATTCCAGCTGGCAGGATTGCTGCCTTCTATCCCTGCCATCTGAAATGGGCCAAAAATGGGACACGTGGAGACTGAAACAGGATGCATGGAGGCCAAAAATGGGACATGTGGAGGCAGAGATAGGTGGCAGCGGTAATGGACGCCGGTGGTGTTGATGGGTGGGGGCAATCCCCACAGCCTGGAACAGCTGATAGGAGGAATTCCAGGAGGCCAATCAAACCCCCAATCAGCTGCTTGTGCTAAATCAGGCTGTGCTGAAGCTGACGAGGCTGTTTTCTGTTTGCTGCAAGGAGACAAATTTCTGGAAGGCAGAGGCCAAATGATGGGGGCCAGTGTGTGGGTGGGGCTTTGGCAACATTCCTGTATAAGACACACAGACATTTCCACCCACTATTTTTTTGGAGAGGGAGTGTATCTTATACTTCAAAAAATACAGTAAGTCTAAGTGCCATTGCTATTGCTATAAGCTACAATGGCTTGCATGGGTACAGTTTTTTGGTATGTATATAGGTAGAAATAGAGCTTGCTGGTTTTTGTTTGTAGAACAAACTAGAACAACTTTTCAATATTTCAGATCTGTTACTTGGCATTCAGTGTTTCAGTTTCTCTCCTTGTGCACTAGCTTAACCAACACAAACTCTTCCTAAAACTTCTGTCCAAATTCTGGTGCAAGAATTTTGCTCTTGTTAAATCTCTTGATCTCTTGTTAAAAAAGGCATCTTCTCTCTCAAAAGTCAATCTTGCCTCTATTCATGATCAACTATCATTTTTATATTTAGCAATAAATGCCCAGTACTGTACAATACAGTACAATAAATACTGTACTGTGAAGATATTGAGCTAGAACAGGAGAAATCCAACTGAAAATACAGATTTCATTATGGATCTCCCTTGGAGAAGTATTCAATATTTATGATATGGTTACTTACAATTGTAATAATCATGGTTCTCTGAATTAAATCAATGTTCACATAACACATTGAATTAAAACCTAATTGCATATCCTGCAGAATGGTATCAAAAAAAGCAAATTGATGGTTGCAACATCACACTCAAAACCTGCTCCTTTTGTACATCAATGTCATATGTACAAAGGGACGGGGCTTCAATTACAATGCTGCATCTGCATCTTGCCAATTTTGGCCTTTCTCTAGAGAGTATATACAGATGTTACTATGTGCAACCTGGGTTATACAAACATGCTAAGGAAAAAATGGCTTTTGCAAATGTGTGGTTCAGTGTATTGGACGAATAGTTTGCACAATGGAGTTAGGAAGATTAACTCTACTGAGGGAATAAACTCTACTGTTATACAAGGGGTAATTTTCATGTGTAAACTATTGTTTAAAGGCATTATTGAAATTTTGTATTGATTTTGGCTTTGCATTTGGAAGAATATGGCAGATGATGGGCAATAGTTCAGGCTTCAGTGAAGCATAAAATGTATAGACTAAGGTTGTTTATATCTTGTTATAAACAAGGTTATATAAATTGTTTATGCAATTAATGGTGCAGTTGTGTTTACTCAAATAAGAAACAGGTTGAGAACAAGATGATATATTTTAAAAGGGCAGATGGACTAAAGAAGGGCAACCAGCCTGACAATTGAAGAATATGTAATAGACTTTCTTGGAGACAGGCCATGGCCTTATCAATCCAGACTGAGCAATGGATATATCAAGATTCAGAGGGGACAAAATAAGACCAACATATCAACAAGCTTGGTGGTGAAAGGTCATCAAAACTCTACCAGATTGGCCAAAGGCTACCTCTGCTGCTGGGAAAGGGTGTAGCTCTAGTGCATCACTCAGTACAATGGATAAGATTCATTTCTGGATACAAGATAACATGTAGGGGGCTGCCCAGTCTAAGATCACTGAGGGAAAACTCTCCAAAGCACCAATTGGCTAATGAGCTTCTCATCATGGTAGTTGTGGCAGATGTGGCACTCTGTAGATGTGTTTAAATCTACTAGGCCTGCTCCAATTCTCTTTAATTACCACTTCTCTGAAATAGTATAGGGTCTCCTGCTTGAGCAGGGTTTGGACTAGAAAATCTCCAACGCCCCTTCCAAGTATTATTCTGGTTGTTGTTGTTTTTAAGAAATGGGTTTAATCCTAGAAAAAGGGAGCCTCGTAAGTCCTGTGTAATAACCTCGTAAGTCCTCGGACTTACGAATGACAGCTCGGCAGCAGCCAGGTGCACCTTAGCCAATCAGGCGCGCCTGCAAGTTGCTGGGCTGTCATACACGAGGCTATTGGCTCGTCCATCTGACAGTTCCATATAAAAAGCTGTCAGACGGAGGAGAGGTGCCGGTCTACCTTCAGTTACTGTTCTTGCCTGTAATAAATAGTTTCTTACGGTTACCTCAGACGCCTCTGTTTTTCCTTCCACCGATTTAACAGGTTTGATAGCACAATCCGATTAAAAGTTCCTTTTAAAATCTCAGCAGGTGTAACCAGAACCATTTCCAAACAAAAAAGAAGGGGAGGGAGGGTAAAATTCTAAAGACCCATTTAATGATTAAAAAGGAAACTTCATGCAGTTCCATTGAATGTCTAGTACATATGTGCAGGATTTCAGTTTTAGACTTAAATTTAGACTTAAATTTATACATTATTCTATAGCATTATGTGACTTGCTTGTTATATTCTTAAAATAAACACACCAGCAACTAACAAAGTATGCTGAATAAGCTCCAAAGAGTCTGACCAATTGATGTTTTGATGTTTTCCACGTTTTTTTTATCACTGCAAGATTTGCCAGAGAATTTCATGCAGATGCATTACGATTCTATGCTTGGATGTTGAACTCTTCATTCTCTTTATTTTTGTTCCTATAGAGATTAGTTACAATAATGTGGAATCTGGGAGTGTAGCTCAATAAAATCATTGTCGTTTATTTGATTGCTTGTTAGTTTTATTCAAAATGCTGTCCCTATTCTTCTTAACAGCTTTCTTATTTAGCAGAAAGTAAAAATGGTATCTAATCCCAATTCCAGAGCGTCAGGATTTGTCAATGTGACAAATGCCTCCCCAGTTATTTCAGTCAGGGTTTTTTTCCTACTACAAAATGTTTACATTTGAGTAAGATTGTCCTCCCAGGAGGTGTTGCTTTACTTCTTGGAAACTTGAAATTGTTTATATAGACAATTAAACTTCTGATAGGTACAAAACTAAACCCATTTAGTTCTTTGAACAAATTTCACAATGTAAAAATCTGAGAAAGAGAAAAGATTTAGTTGAATGCAAATTTGCAAAGAACGCAAAAAAACCCCACTTATAAATGAATGTAAGTGTTCAATGAAAACTTCTCCATACTGATGATACACAC